GCGATGAAAGCAAAGTGTCAGCAAAGTCACCAGCCACGACACATCACAATTCTTTAGCCACTGACAGAGGCAACCGTTATTTAGCTCTTATTTTTACTTAAACTGGAGAGTACCCCTAAATTCAAAGGGATTTAAACCCAAATATTCCACTCAAAGGTACCAGAGATGATAATACCTTATCCAAACAGTGCCACCGTGGCTCACACACCTCGTTCACTTTGATCAACAAGGAAATGAATATTTATCTCCACGAGTCCACTTGACCTTACACACTTCTTTGTCCAACAGAAAAACTAAAGAGCGACACAAAATTTCCGAGACTTCATCACAGCTTTGAAAAGGAAAGTTATTGAGTTGGAATGGAGAGGGTGAGGGATCTAGGCAATCTTTCATTATTCCTCTTGGGATCGCTGCCAGAAGAAAAAGAATGATCATTCCAGTGCTTAGGGCTTCAAGCTTACAGAATGTACCATAACACCTAGGCGGTGTTCAAAGGCGCGAATTTACCACATCATAGAATCTGGCTTGGAAATTGTTGTAGAAAAACTAGAAGCGACTAGATTAAACGCTGGAGATGACACTCAGGGCTTTCATACAGTCACGCAGACCCCTATGGTATCTTAATTCGGTGGTAGTGACGGCGGTGGCGACAGAACGCCGTGTACCTCGTCAACTACCGATGGTGATTGCTTGCGACGATGCAGGAGACAAGGGAAGTAGGCCAGTAATCTAACACCCAATATCACCAAAAGGTGTTATTGGGCGCTGCAACTGCGTACAAAGCATCGAGCTGATACTTTCATCCTCATGGACGCCGTCAAGCACTAAATGAATGTAATAACAGACAAAAATCAGTCATCAACCACTACGTTCTACTGCTACAATATGTATGACCATTGGCGCATTTTCTCCCATTTGATCTACTTTACCTCTTCCTAAACAAAGGCATCACTTATATGTGACGCACGAGCTCAGATAATAAGATCTTGTCAAAGGAATGATGTTGGAAGTGGGAAGTTAAGTGTAAAAAGAGGTGGAAAATAAAATCCTCCCCTTTCTACACCCAGCCACGTATTCTCCGATCTAGAAGCCTGAAATACGAAGAAGCCTGTCAGTGTGGCTGCGTCTTTCAAATTCAGCATTTGTGGTAGCTTTTCAAAAATCAAGAATTTTCGCATTCACAAGCGAATGCACTGTGCTAGTCCTTCGCACAAACGACGGTGTGTCGTGCGCAGTCCCACCAAAGGTTAGTTTGTACGTCGTCCATGCAAACTATATGCTCACATACATATATGCTCATTCGGTAGGGTGGAAAACCACCACTCTCACAATCGCCAATAACAGTTCGCCTTTTGCGATTATCATCAAGACATTGACATCATTTAAATGACGCACCGCTGCACGATTACGTGTCCCATTGCTGCGCTGTGCTTGCAGTAAATATTTGCCGGATCGGATTTGATGCCTTTGTTTCCTGCCATCTTAATTAGGACTGTCATCTGAATCCTCGAAGAATTCTTGTACAAGGTACAAAGTGAGGCTCTACCACTTACTCATGGTATCGTTGCTGCTAATGCTGGTAACTGCAGAAGCAAGTAGCATATCTCATATTTCATTCACATGAGTCAACATACACACCGATTACGCATGTAACCACCCCCAGTGAGGTCAAGTGAATTGCTTTGGGTGAAAACACTTGACGTATGCACTAAGGGGAAAGACTGATTACTTAATCTATTAACCCAAAAGTGAATGATAGGTGATTAAAGGCATTAAAGACTAAAGACTAAAATAATTAGTCCGCAGTGGAGGGCAGCAGAAGCAAGTGGACCAGGAATTAATTC